AAAAATCCCAAAAATGCATGGATGTAAAATATGACCCGGAGCGGAGGCCAGGTCTTTGGAAATTTTATTCCGATTCTTGATCGGAATACCCTTAACGATTTGTAGATCGATTCTGCACAAATCTGCATCAAAATCTAGAAACAAAATATTTTTTTAAATTTTTGTCCAATTTTCTGGGGGTCTTCCTTTAAAAATCCCAAAAATGCATGGATGCACAATATGACCCGGAGCGGAGGCCAGGTCTTTGGCAATTTTATTCCGATTCTTGATCGGAATACCTTAAACGATTTGTAAATCGATTCTGCACAAATCTGCATCAAAATCTAGAAACAAAATATTTTTTAAATTTTTTGTCCAATTTTCTGGGGGCCTCCCTTCAAAAATCCCAAAAATGCATGGATGCAAAATATGACCCGGAGCGGAGGCCAGGTCTTTGGAAATTTTATTCCGATTCTTGATCGGAATACCCTTAACGATTTGTAGATCGATTCTGCACAAATCTGCATCAAAATCTAGAAACAAAATATTTTTTAAATTTTTTGTCCAATTTTCTGGGGGTCTTCCTTTAAAAATCCCAAAAATGCATGGATGCACAATATGACCCGGAGCGGAGGCCATATCTTTGCCAATTTTATTCCGATTCTTGATCGGAATACCTTAAACGATTTGTAGATCGATTCTGCACAAATCTGCATCAAAATCTAGAAAGAAAATGTTTTTTAAATTTTTTGTCCAATTTTCTGGGGGCCTCCCTTCAAAAATCCCAAAAATGCATGGATGCACAATATGACCCGGAGCGGAGGCCAGGTCTTTGGCAATTTTATTCCGATTCTTGATCGGAATACCTTAAACGATTTGTAGATCGATTCTGCACAAATCTGCATCAAAATCTAGAAACAAAATATTTTTTAAATTTTTTGTCCAATTTTCTGGGGGCCTCCCTTCGAAAATCCCAAAAATGCATGGATGCAAAATATGACCCGGAGCGGAGGCCAGGTCTTTGGCAATTTTATTCCGATTCTTGATCGGAATACCCTTAACGATTTGTAGATCGATTCTGCACAAACCTGCATCAAAATTTAGAAACAAAATATTTTTTAAATTTTTTGTCCAATTTTCTGGAGGTCTTCCTTTAAAAATCCCAAAAATGCATGGATGCACAATATGACCCGGAGCGGAGGCCATATCTTTGGCAATTTTAATCCGATTCTTGATGGGAATACCTGAAACGATTTGTAGATCGATTCTGCGCAAATCTGCATCAAAATCTAGAAACCAAATATTTTTTAAATTTTTTGTCCAATTTTCTGGGGGTCTTCCTTCAAAAATCCCAAAAATGCATGGATGCACAATATGACCCGGAGCGGAGGCCATATCTTTGCCAATTTTATTCCGATTCTTGATCGGAATACCTTAAACGATTTGTAGATCGATTCTGCACAAATCTGCATCAAAATCTAGAAACAAAATATTTTTTAAATTTTTTGTCCAATTTTCTGGGGGTCTTCCTTTAAAAATCCCAAAAATGCATGGATGCACAATATGACCCGGAGCGGAGGCCAGGTCTTTGGCAATTTTATTCCGATTCTTGATCGGAATACCCTTAACGATTTGTAGATCGATTCTGCACAAATCTGCATCAAAATCTAGAAACAAAATATTTTTTAAATTTTTTGTCCAATTTTCTGGGGGTCTTCCTTTAAAAATCCCAAAAATGCATGGATGCACAATATGACCCGGAGCGGAGGCCAGGTCTTTGGCAATTTTATTCCGATTCTTGATCGGAATACCTTAAACGATTTGTAAATCGATTCTGCACAAATCTGCATCAAAATCTAGAAACAAAATATTTTTTAAATTTTTTGTCCAATTTTCTGGGGGCCTCCCTTCAAAAATCCCAAAAATGCATGGATGCAAAATATGACCCGGAGCGGAGGCCAGGTCTTTGGAAATTTTATTCCGATTCTTGATCGGAATACCCTTAACGATTTGTAGATCGATTCTGCACAAATCTGCATCAAAATCTAGAAACAAAATATTTTTTAAATTTTTTGTCCAATTTTCTGGGGGTCTTCCTTTAAAAATCCCAAAAATGCATGGATGCACAATATGACCCGGAGCGGAGGCCATATCTTTGCCAATTTTATTCCGATTCTTGATCGGAATACCTTAAACGATTTGTAGATCGATTCTGCACAAATCTGCATCAAAATCTAGAAAGAAAATGTTTTTTAAATTTTTTGTCCAATTTTCTGGGGGCCTCCCTTCAAAAATCCCAAAAATGCATGGATGCACAATATGACCCGGAGCGGAGGCCAGGTCTTTGGCAATTTTATTCCGATTCTTGATCGGAATACCTTAAACGATTTGTAGATCGATTCTGCACAAATCTGCATCAAAATCTAGAAACAAAATATTTTTAAATTTTTGTCCAATTTTCTGGGGGCCTCCCTTCGAAAATCCCAAAAATGCATGGATGCAAAATATGACCCGGAGCGGAGGCCAGGTCTTTGGCAATTTTATTCCGATTCTTGATCGGAATACCCTTAACGATTTGTAGATCGATTCTGCACAAACCTGCATCAAAATTTAGAAACAAAATATTTTTTAAATTTTTTGTCCAATTTTCTGGAGGTCTTCCTTTAAAAATCCCAAAAATGCATGGATGCACAATATGACCCGGAGCGGAGGCCATATCTTTGGCAATTTTAATCCGATTCTTGATGGGAATACCTGAAACGATTTGTAGATCGATTCTGCGCAAATCTGCATCAAAATCTAGAAACCAAATATTTTTTAAATTTTTTGTCCAATTTTCTGGGGGTCTTCCTTCAAAAATCCCAAAAATGCATGGATGCACAATATGACCCGGAGCGGAGGCCATATCTTTGCCAATTTTATTCCGATTCTTGATCGGAATACCTTAAACGATTTGTAGATCGATTCTGCACAAATCTGCATCAAAATCTAGAAACAAAATATTTTGTAAATTTTTTGTCCAATTTTCTGGCGGTCTTCCTTCAAAAATCCCAAAAATGCATGGATGCACAATATGACCCGGAGCGGAGGCCATATCTTTGGCAAATTTAATCCGATTCTTGATCGGAATACCTTAAACGATTTGTAGATCGATTCTGCACAAATCTGCATCAAAATCTAGAAACAAAATATTTTGTAAATTTTTTGTCCAATTTTCTGGCGGTCTTCCTTCAAAAATCCCAAAAATGCATGGATGCACAATATGACCCGGAGCGGAGGCCATATCTTTGGCAATTTTATTCCGATTCTTGATCGGAATACCTTAAACGATTTGTAGATCGATTCTGCACAAATCTGCATCAAAATCTAGAAACAAAATATTTTTTAAATTTTTTGTCCAATTTTCTGGCGGTCTTCCTTCAAAAATCCCAAAAATGCATGGATGCACAATATGACCCGGAGCGAAGGCCATATCTTTGCCAATTTTATTCCGATTCTTGATCGGAATACCTTAAACGATTTGTAGATCGATTCTGCACAAATCTGCATCAAAATCTAGAAACAAAATATTTTTTAAATTTTTTGTCCAATTTTCTGGCGGTCTTCCTTCAAAAATCCCAAAAATGCATGGATGCACAATATGACCCGGAGCGGAGGCCATATCTTTGGCAATTTTATTCCGATTCTTGATCGGAATACCTTAAACGATTTGTAGATCGATTCTGCACAAATCTGCATCAAAATCTAGAAACAAAATATTTTTTAAATTTTTTGTCCAATTTTCTGGCGGTCTTCCTTCAAAAATCCCAAAAATGCATGGATGCACAATATGACCCGGAGCGAAGGCCATATCTTTGCCAATTTTATTCCGATTCTTGATCGGAATACCTTAAACGATTTGTAGATCGATTCTGCACAAATCTGCATCAAAATCTAGAAACAAAATATTTTGTAAATTTTTTGTCCAATTTTCTGGCGGTCTTCCTTCAAAAATCCCAAAAATGCATGGATGCACAATATGACCCGGAGCGGAGGCCATATCTTTGGCAAATTTAATCCGATTCTTGATCGGAATACCTTAAACGATTTGTAGATTAATTCTGCGCAAATCTGCATCAAACTCTAGAAACAAAATATTTTTTAAATTTTTTGTCCAATTTTCTAGGGGCCTCCCTTCAAAAATCCCAAAAATTCATGGATGCACAATATGACCCGGAGCGGAGGCCATATCTTTGGCAATTTTGATTCGATTCTTGATCGGAATACCTTAAACGATTTGTAGATCGATTCTGCGCAAATCTGCATCAAAATCTAGAAACAAAATATTTTTTAAATTTTTTGTCCAATTTTCTAGGGGCCTCCCTTCAAAAATCCCAAAAATGCATGGATGCACAATATGACCCGGAGCGGAGGCCATATCTTTGGCAATTTTGATTCGATTCTTGATCGGAATACCTTAAACGATTTGTAGATCGATTCTGCGCAAATCTGCATCAAAATCTAGAAACAAAATATTTTTTAAATTTTCTGTCCAATTTTCTGGGGGCCTTTCATCAAAAATCTCAAAAATGCATGGATGCACAATATGACAATGAGCGGAGGCCATATCTTTGCCATTTTTGATCCGATTCTTGATCGGAACACCGTAAACGAGTAAAATAGTAAAATTAGTAAAATTTTCTAATTATAAGCCTTTATAAATATCAGCTAAAATTTATATTGTTTCTGTTTCTGTGGTGTTTCTGTTTGAGTAGCTGAAACCAATGGACTTTAAATCCATTTTTTTAATACTCTTTGAAAACTAGGATTAAGTGTCTGGTGTAAGTGTTCCCAATGAATGGGCTTCCCAATAAATGCACATGACAACTCTCTTGCAAATACACTTTTTTTTTATCGCTTCTATATATGAAGCTCAAACTCATTAGATATCTTATGATCGATTACCGACACATGACAGGTAATTATGTACTTGAAGACCAGCCACGGAATTTTTCCGGCTTTAGTTTTCGATCTGAAGCGGAGTCACCAGCAGTTCAAGCGGAGCAATGGCAGCAAAGGGGTACCACATTTTGGGATTTTCTTGCCTGATTTTTGTAGCCTGTCTTCTGGGCAGTCGCCTGGCTCAGGCCCAGAATACGGAGTCTGCTAGTCTCTGTAGTGATTTGCCGAGTATAGCTCTGGATCTGGACAAGGTAAGGTATCATGATGATGGATTATGTTCAATGAATAACCAAAGAACCTATCATAGTTCTCTGGCATCTGGTGGGAGGTTGCTCGTCAGCCCTCCACCTCGTACTTCTGCACGGAGGTGAACATCACAGTGGTTCCCAACGTCACTCAGGATAATGTACTGATCCACACAGCATATGCGGTGTCTCCGGACTATCCCTGGGTTAATCAAACCATGAATGCCACGATTACAGTGGCCAACATGACCGAAGTTCAGGAAGGCTACAACTTTACTTACTGGAACCCTCCCAACTACAATCCGTACACTGTGTTCAAGGTCCTTTACACCGATTACATCAACGTTACTTTCGTTTGTGGCTATACAAATCAGACAGATAGTTCGACAGCCTTTGGAATTATCCTCACTAGGGATCGCACACCCACCACCGATGACCTTGATAAAATGGAAGGTTTGGCGACGACCTATTCCTCCAATTTCCTAAATGGTACAATGTCACTGATAACTCAAGGGGAAACGTAAGTTCTAAGTAGTTTAATTAAAGAAAGAAGTTTAACGATTTTTTAATCAAAATTAGCTTAGCTTATTCAATATCAGCCCTATTTATAGTAATAGTTTTCCTTTTTTCAGATGTTATGCTGCCGGAGCCAATTCTTCCACATTAATCTCTACGCTGCTAATTGCCTTGACCTTGCTGTTTTGTTTTATAAGAAATTAATATTATTCACATCTTCTTGTTTTCATTTAAAAATTGAAAGCTCTTAATAAAATGTTTATATTATACATCATTTCACGGGTGTAAATGTAATATTATTTACATTTTTATTGTCTTGTATTTTATTATGGAAGATAATAAGTCTGATGATTCATGACTTCTCACTTGCGAAACAAGATTATTATTCGCTTGGGGTTGGATTATTTTTTCTTTAAATAATTGCCTTCTTATCCCATATTTCCATACAGAATAAGGTTCTGACTCATTTCCCTTTACTTCTTTTACAATTTCGCGATATTTTTACAGAGAGATAAATCACAAAAAGATTAAGATAAAGCTAGGCGTGGCAGACTTTATTAATTATATGTCGTCCTCTTGTATCTACCAGTAATGTGATAATGAAATGTACTCTCCTTATGACTTTGTCGAGCGTCCGAGATGAGTAATGGGGAATAGTACACAATTATCTATGCGTGTAAAAAAAATTAGATAAAGTTCGTGTGAAATATCATAATGCATAAAAACATTAGGTGTGTGTCTGGTAATAAACAAATATTACTTTTAAAATTATCAAACATTAAACGAATACCCAAAATTTTTTATTATTTTGAAGATTGTAAAGTTTTATTATTAAAGGAATAAGTACGAGATAACAATAATTAAAATAATTCAATAATTAATATAAGTAAGAGATAAGCCTATCAACATATTAAGAAGAAACATTCTTTATGAAACATTTTCAAAGCAGGGAAGCCTAGCAGCACTCTATAATATCAGCTATATTGTAAGCCTAACCATATCCTAGTTTATCATATCAGAATATGCAAAAGTACTACCAACTTTGATACCAAATAACGATAATAAAGCGCCTATACAAAAATTAAAAAGTTTAAAAACTTTCTAGCGATTGATATTTAATTAGACATCCAATCTATTTTTGAGCGAATTGATAAGTTTCCGGGAAAAACCTGGAGGCTCAATGGGCTTACCAGGTTCGATACTGTCTCAATCAGAGAACGAGAAGTTTTTATGAAGCCGTAAAGGAATAATAAAAAAGATAACTGATAACTAAAGCCGAAGAGCCGAACTTAGTCATGCCATGGAGCCGATAACAGACGTCAGATGTACGTAAATCGGTGCCTCGATAATGGCTGCAAAATAATACGGGAATGCTGAAAAAGTACCCCAGTATAAAAGACTGTCCCGGGTGCAGAGCAACTTCAGTTGAACGACGACTACCGAACCGATCGCAGGAAACCCAGAATCGTGAAGTGTTCTCTAGAGCAAAAAATCAAACCGTATCCGGAAGATAAAAGTGACATCATGTGCAAAAGTGTGTTGATTAGTTTGGCCTTTTTGGCTGTGATTTCGGCTACCTTGGCCCAATCAACTCCTCAAACCTGTGCTCAAGCCTCCAGTCTGGCCTTCGACAATGCCGCTGTGAGTGAAGCTAAAATTTAGATATATTAATTTAAAACTGTAATGAAAGCTGGCCAAATTTAGAAGAACATTTTTAATTCGAAACAAAATGAGACAGACCTCAAATTTATTTTTCATTCTCATGGAATCATGGAATTTCAAGCTAACGTTCCACCAAAATAATCTGTAACTTGTTCATTTTTAGTACAATGGAACATGGTTCGAGGTGGCCCGCAATCCCGCCCCAGCGGTGGGCTGCATTACCTTGGAAGTGAATGTTCAGCCACAGTACGTCCAGGTCAATGTCAGTCACTCTATTAGTACTACCAACCTTAAGACCGAATCCCGCGAAAGTGCGAATATCACTCTGACTGCTGGCAGCACTCTTGGCTACAATGTGTCCTTTGTGGAGGGCCAGGACACTACCTATAAATTTGTCAAGGTGCTGCAACTCATTAACAATACCTACCTGGTTGGCTGCACATATACGAATGCCAACGATGCTTCGACTAGTGCTGGATTCATTCTGGCCAAGTCCGGCTACAACTACACCCTTACCGAGGGAGTGAACAACAATGCTTCTGCGCTGTACACCAACTTCCAGAGTGGTGTTGTGAACAACGTCACCCAGACTGGGTAAGTTTTGGAAACAAAAAAGTTGTGTAACTATTTTGACTCAAAAATTGTATCCCTTTCAGGTGCTTTGCCAACTCTGCAGGACAGACTCTGCCCATGATCACCCTCTTCCTGACCATCGCCCTGCTGTTGATAAAGGCCTAAAGAGGATGGAATCGACTTCCTGCAATTCCTAGCCATCATAAAAAATACTAGAGAAACTAAACCAAAATGTTTGCCTAAGTTATTGCGTCAGTCTCTTTATTTAGTTTTTAGTTTCACCCTGCACTCCAGCGCTTCAAATCGAAGCCAAGGCAATTCGATGTCAATAAAAATCAACCTAAATGGGTGGGGACCCGCTAAAAAAACCCACTGAAAAAAAAACACAAACACAATCAAAAAACACGAAGCTAGATAAAGTTGGGCAGACAATTCCAGATGTCTTGGTTCTTCGCTCCAATCAGTGCTTTAATTTGCGGGCAACTTGTTCAAAATTCTGCGTGATAAGATAGTGGTGGCCAATGGCAACAATAACTACATATGTATATGGCTAACCAATTCACCCAAACCTCCAATGGAATTTTCTCGTCCATTGCTAATATCTAACAAGCATCTCATAAATCAATCAAAGGCCGGGTGTTCACAGACAAAAAGATTTGCTATGTTTTTCCACTGATTAATTGATTGACAAATCGCAGCCACTTGTGCTAGAATCGTTAATTACTCTGGTACGAGTTTATGGTTAGCTGATTAGAGGGATTTCAATGGATTGCTCACATTGGAGAGAGGGCCATGGGGTTTACAGCCTAATGAGGTTCATTATGTGATAAACAAAAAATCGATTGGATATAAACGGCAAATCAACTGCACAACGGTAGCCTGACTTTATGAGTCATAAACTAGTAAATTAATAAATCAAAGCAAGAGACTTTAATTATAAAAAGCAGTATGATAACACACCCCTATATATGGCGAGGAAAAACCCCAACAGTCAATTACTTTAAACCTTTTTTCAATTTCCTAAATTTATAAATTTTATGAAAAGTTAATAAAAAAAATAAAGTTTTTAATGTGAACTTTGATAAGATATTTAATTGGATCACGACCCAATAAGATTGTTTAGATAAAAGTGGCGTTAAGAAATATCATAATGTAATATTTATGCTGAGGTTTCTTTGGCGGCGAGCTTCATTCATTGTACTCGGATTTATTGATGTTAAATATTTATGTTATTGCTTGTCTGCATTTCTCAACGAGCTGATAAGATAGGAACTTATGGAAAGACAAATTTCGAACTGAAGACAAGGTACTTACTCATAGGTAAAATATTTTGTCTGATACTTGACGCTCTCATATAACACTTTGTCAAATGTCAGAACAGTTGTCACCTCCGAAAAGCACCACAACAAAAATACTGCCTCGCAGACACTTAATTGTGAGGACGAAAAAAAAAACGCAAGTCACAAGCCAGAGCACAGAGACAACTCAGTTAACATACACACTCGAAAATGTGATTTGTTTACCACCCCGTTCCACCAAAAATAAAATAAAACACTTAAAGTCCTGGCCAAGTCTCAAATCAGATACAAAATCCTCCAGAGCCTCTGCTTCTTATACACTTATCAGGCTTCGGGGCTGGCTGTTGCTGATTTCTTGTTTATTTATTCAGCTTCAACCCAATCAGACCACCCACACCCCGCCCCACACACACGCACACACTGTGCTGCAAACAAACCCACACGAATGTAAACACAAGGCCACTAAATCACTGAACACTCTCAGCTTTGGCATTTACACCACCACCAGCCCCGGTCCCCTAGTCATCTAGTCATTCAAAGGACCTGCTCCTGGTCCTGCTCCGGCTCCGGCTCCTGAAGCGATTTCTTTTGTTGCTGACCCGCGGCTCCTGTCCTCTGCCCTGTGCCCTTTTCGTCTGGCTGGGCTGGGACTCTTCTGCGTGGGGTTTGTTTATGTTTATTTGTTGGCACAATTTGGTTACATTGTTTGCTTACAATCTACTCATTGTTTGCCGGGTTCGTTGTTGTTCTTGAAATCAAGTTTACATCGATTAAGTAGCTGTAAAATCTGTTGCCAAGAAAAACACAAAGGAAGCCCGCTGAAGGTATAAATAAGCCCGGTTTCTACGAAAATGGTTTCAAAGTTTTAGTCAAACATTGCAAATATTTCTGATCTAAAAGGTGAAGTTCTTAAGGCTTCAGGCAGAATGTTTCATAACTGTAGACCAATAGCTATGTAAAGATTTAAATGTTTAATATAATTATTTATAAGCAAAGTGTTTAATGAATTGAAAGTTTGAATTCGTAATGCAACTAGGAATTCTCACACCTCCAACTAATAGATAATCAGAATACTATCCGACACAAAGAGACAATAATTACACACTCCAAAGTAGCTAATCATCCATCGAGCCGTATTACCATTGAAGCCCAGGCCAAGCCCGACCGCAACCAAGACCGGGCCAAGGTTTTTGGTCAAATGCCAGACAAACAAAGGACGTCTCCAATCAATGCTAATAGCAATGGTCCTGCAATATACCCAAAGTGCTTTGAAAGCCGAATGCCAAACCAGCACGCTTGCCGGCTTCTGCATGTGGATTCAGGATGGGAAAAAGGACAGAAATAAGGAGGAAAGCAGGACCGTGACGAGGCGAGGGGCGGGCCGAGGGGCAAAACTATTAATTAATTTCCCAGTCACTGCAGGCCATCGACATTCGACCCACCGCATGCCGTTGACATTTCAGTCAAAAGCAAAGCCAATACAATTTCCCCTCGGATCCCAATCTCCGAGGAGGTGTGCCGGGCTAATGAATTTGCCAAATGGTGTGAGCCAAGTTTTTATATACCCACAGATACAGATACAGATACACATATCGATACTGTAGGGAAGAGAGAAATTTTCTGAGACATCCATTCGAGTTGGAGGTGTGTAATTGCCGGGGAGGGGTGATGTTATCAAATAAATTGAAATCTTAGCCAAGTTTCTGGCACTCGAGTCTCGAGCATTTCTTAGAGCTGCCAATCGTCACTCAAGTATTTCTGTTCCTAAGCCACTCTAGTGCACTGAACGAAGTGTAAGTATTTCCCAAAGGTAACAAGTACATGACTTGCACAAAATTTCTCTCACTGCCTTATTTTGGGTGCGAATCCTTAATTTATGCTGATCCCTGGCCTTTCACCTATGCGCTCTCGCATTTGCATAGATTTCCCAAACTCGGCAACAAAAACATGATTTGATTTCCACCGGCATCTGATAATACTTCTCAATATGCAGCTATATGTGTGTTTATGCGGTTGTAGAGGTCCTACATGCTCCACAGGTGGGGGTAATTGAATGGAGGTCCTCAGTCATTTACATTCAATTAACAGTTGTAGGCCTGGTCGCATTGCCATCTATGAGATACTTGTGGAGACAGTGTTACTTGGTCAGCTATAAATATTCATAGAAAGCACCAGGGGCTTAGAGACGGAAGGATCTACAAAAAACTTTAAATAATTAAACTAATAGTTAAAAGTTATCATAGTTATTCAAACTTAAAAGTAATTATTTTAACTTTGCTCATTATAGTCTTTAACCTTTTAATAAAACCCCTAAAACCACCGCCCCTGGTTAATTCCTATTTGGGCATAATTTATGCCCCTTGAACTTGGGCCTTTGAGTAATGGAACTGTGTTTGGCCCCTAGTTGACTTTAGGGCTAATGCATAAGATAATTACTGTTCCAGAGAAAGTGTCTCAAGGATTATATTTCCATCAGAGGCAGCCTGTAGCCTGTAGTCAGTTGCTTTGATGAATCACAATTCAGGTCGTATGAGAAAATTATGATAAATAAGGACAACAACGAATTGCAAATGAGAGGATGTTGTGTATAATTATAGGAATGATGTGTTTTCATATGAGACATGAAACCTTTAAACCATATATCTATGTTGCGTGTGTTTCTCTGTAAGATCAGTCACAGCCTTTTAAATAAACTGAGGACGTGCTAATCCCCATTTGACAGCCCGTCACATCTGCAATTACGGCAATTAATTAAGTTGGCCCCACATCACCTAATCGGAGAACTCGAACTGTAAAAGAAAACGATAACCTGGCGGGGAGGCTAGGCATCCTCAAACCATTATTGTAAATGCCAATTCTAGGGGCAATGGCACAAATTGCTGTAAATCCACGGCGGATTGCTCCGACACCTTTGCTCCGTTCGCTGTCGATTTCCACCCATTCCATTTGTGTTCTATGGGAGCAATGGTATTCTGTTGGCACAGGCATTATTCGTAACGAGCGACATGATCATAAAAATAAACGCAAAATATAACACAAAATGCAAACACAATAATGGCCTGGGAGTGCCTTAGTTTTTATTTTTACACCTGTTTACAAACAAAGCACCAACAATGGCACAGGACGAGGACAAGGACGAGGAAGAGAAAATTTGACTGCGCCAGCACGCACACAATTAAATTTCCGGTACAACACCTACATGCATGGGGATATCCCGAAAACCCAAAAAACCATGGCGCCCCCTCAAAATACACTTTGATTTTCAATGTGTGTGTTTGTGTGTGCTCAGTGTGTTTGAGCCATTAAAATTACGCCTAACGGAGTTGCAAACACACCCAAACACAAGCAAATACGCATACACAGCCCACACACACACAAATAGGAAAAGTAAAAATGTGCCAGGCTTACGCGGCGTATGAGTATTTTTCTGACTCACTCTAACTGCTCTAACACGTTTCATTTGAAATCCATGGCACGTTTGCCTCAACAGCGACAGTAGGACCCGGACACGGAGACACGGAGCAATTTTCAATATTCCTGTCACCTCCCCAGACCCACCTCCCCAACCGCTAGGCGAGTAGGCGTGGCAGGTGACGGAAATAATGCGGCGGCGACGACAAAGGCCTGAGTTGCTGTCAAAATTGGCAGAAATCGTCGATGCCTCCGCCGGTAACTAAAAATCAAAGGCATCTTTCGCCTACTTTGAGTCCTTGGAGGGCATCTAGCTACGTGTGCGGGCCATAATATTTTCAGTTTCTGCACAAGCACACAACAACACATACACACTCGCATGCAAACTTTGGCACACTCGCTCACACTGCGTATACGTAATATTTGCTTGGGATTATTACAGGCTGGCACTTGAGACGCACACACGTCGCTCCTCCAATAAAAATGTATACATCTTTATGTATGCGCCCGGCTCTTAATAATAAAATTTCGTTTAATTTCGAGTTTTGAATTTCATTTTTATGATTCTTTTCGTTTTCCTCCGTTATTCCTGTTGCTTATTTATTTTCTCCAAGCAGGTGTTTGCCGTAACGTGATAAAAATTTAATTATATTTGCTGCCGAGGAGATTGGTTATTTATTTTCCTCTTATACTTGCTGTACTTGAATGCAGGATGAATCAGAGTCCGATTCATCGATAAACTACTTAAGATTTGAGTTTATAAGAAGGAGGGTATTCCCTTTTCAAAAATCTCACTGATGAATAGAAAATCCCTGACTCACAATCGCAATCAGCTGACGATTTCTCCTTGAAGTGAAGATCTCTAAACAACAACGAATGCATATACTTATCATTGATTGGCAACCAGAGTAACAAATTGGTTGTTTTCTATATTGTGTTTAGCTGACACATACGACCGTATGTCCGTATCATATCAGTTCTTTCAGAATGACTTCTCTTAGATAACCGAAATTATTTTATCTGGCGAAATTTTCAATGAGTCATTAGACCCAAAGAAATAATCTTTTGCAATGCCAATTAATTGTACTTTTTAATTAAATAACACATATACCTTCGCGGAATGGCACTTTTGTAAGAAAAAACGATATTATTCTGCTGTAGACGCCGCCTTAATCTGTCTAAGAACTCGACTGGACAGCCGACTGACGAAGTGTCTGTCTGATGGCCTTTCTGTTTGTTTTGCCTTCCTTTCGACTTCGCCTAATGGACGCCTGCCAACAGCTGGCAGGACACTTCGAGCAACTCAAAATATCCTGGCAGCTCCTGCGAGTGGCAACAATGTATTCGAGTCAGGTGCGTTGTGAATTTTGCTGCAACAGTCATTATAATAATGCCACAACGAAGTGTGCTCGGAAATAATAATCAACTTGGTCGGTCTAGGCGTACTACGTACGTGGGAAAGAGACGCCTTAAAATGCGAGAATGAGAGAGGGAGTGGGTGCCCAGCTGCCGGCACTTGATGGTTTCGTGTAGGTAGTAGACCAGGCAAGGCACTTAAAATTTCATTTAAATATGGACTCCTCGTTGAATGTGCAATCGTGCATTGTTGCACTTCAGCTGCCAGCCACCGTTGCAATTGCTATAATCGCCTCGAATAATAACTTTAAGTGCATAATTTCATAAAGTTTCAGCAGATCCAGGTATAGTTATTCCTGGTATTTCAAGTACGTGGGAACATTTCGCCCTGCCATTGCATGAGAGTTTTAAAAATGAAAAGGAATGTGTACATATTGCATATATTTAACCTAGATTTTTAATGATATTCCTTACAATTGAGTTTATACAATAATACAGGTGTATTCTTATATAAAGAAAAGAAAGGTCATGGGAATGCGGCTTTCCGCATGCAGTTGGGCTAGGAAACTAGCCAAAACTTGGCTAAGATATATCAGTTCCATGAAAGTCTGTAGACCATTAGAAGCTTAGACTTTGACCAAATTTAACTTTAATCTATTGTTTCTGCATTGATTCACCTCATAAATAAATTTTTCTAACTACATATTAAAAAAAATACTTATTAACTTGTTTTAATACTTGTCCAAATATTAATTTACATTCCTGAATTCGCGTATATACAATTATTTTCAGAATTAACATACGTTATTTGTGCGATAGAAAAACTTCTTACTTTGGAGTGTTCAAAAGAGCAAAAGTTTCATGTCAATCAAACTTTTTAATTTTAATTTACATTAAAATTGCGTTGACATTTATTTAGTGTACCATTTGTTGATGGGGCCCAGTGCTTTTGATAAAAAAATTTGCATACAAAAATTGTACTCACTTGGCTTTCCGGAAAAGTTTGCTTCTTTTTTATTTGCATAACTCAACATCTAGACAAACACATCTGCAGGTGGTGGGTGGGTGAAGAGTGAGACCTAAGTGATAACGTTAAAAGGGAAAGTCACGGAGAGCAAATATGAATCATACGCCATGTGTGGCAAATTTGTTTCAAACAAACATTTTCACACCGAAAGCTAAAAATAATTTCAAAGTATAAATATTTATATAAAAATGGGCGCAATGCGTGGGTGATAAAAATTAATGGGATTCTAAAAGACAAATGAATGCCAGGGAAGGAGAAAATAATATGCAAATTGTTATTTCTTAAAACAATATAAGAACCTAACGTATTACTATCTCACGAGCTAAAGCCCATCTGGTGTCATCTACTATTGATTTTAAAAATTAACCCAATTCATTAAGAATTTTACAAAGCTCTATTTAAACTGAATAAACCATTGTTTACAAAAATCAATCGGAATAATAAGTACCTGCTACACAATTCATTGTATTATAATTTTTTGCGTAAATAATAACTCATGTGTTAACTTCGCGATGTCGTCAATTGTAGTCCGAAAGATAAACAGACTTTTTAGCACTTTATTCCATAGGTATCGCTTTGATGCAAATAATTAAATAAAAGTTTATCAAACTGTCAACCCCATGTTGTAATTTACAAATGGATACTTTTTGGACCAGTTTGTATAGAATGCTTGCGAATTCTCATATTTATAGTGAGAGTATATATGATTCTAATCCAACTTTTCATTGAAAATACCCGGTGCTAACAGTATCGCGATATCGTCAATTGTTACATGCCAAGTGACCAGACTTTTTGGCACATTTTTCCAGCATCTAATCCAGCTATTATCCAATTAACAGGTGTGAGATAATTGAGGCGGCGTCAAATGCGCTGCCAGTTGGGGAATTGAACAATCAAACAAGGGGGTTTGAACTAGATATGTTTTATTACAGACCGACCTGCCTCGAGACCTGAGAGAGAGGGATCCCATACGAGATGTCTCAATGCCATTTGAGGCTCTGATGTCTAAGGCAAACACACTGAGATCGCGGTCTTGGAGAGGAGATCATTATCAGTGGGATGCTTGGGAGCAGTGTCATCATTACGCGTCTGCGACTTGCGGCGATCAGACGTCTGATTAGAAAGGAACACCAGGTATCACGATAATACAAGATGTATCCCCAACTGGAAACGGAGGCAGAGGCGATCGAAAACGCCACTGCCCGGGCACTCCTACCGGGTGCAGTCAGTAAGCCTGCGAGTGAGGCTGGAAAAGCTCCGGCCACCAGCAAATGGAAACGCCGCCTCCATCGCCATGTTCCTATTTTCCAATGGCTTCCATTCTACACCACGGAATGGGGAATCGATGATTTCATAGCCGGAATCACACTAGGACTAACGATTATCCCGGAGAGTATGGCCTGTGCCCTGTTGGCGGGTCTTCCGGCTCGATACGGTCTCTGTTCTGCCTTCATCGGCCCCTTGATATATATGATCTTTGGCTCCATCGACAAGGTCATTATAGGACCCACCAGCCTGGTGGCTCTGGTCAGTGTGCAATTCACCGTGGGACGACCCATCGAGTTTGCCTTCCTGCTCACCTTCCTCAGCGGAATAGTGCAGATCATTATGGGGATACTGCAGTTGGGTAAGTAATGTATATGCAATTTCAATCCAAAATCAAGACTCATTCTTCAAACAAATATTAGACCTAAGTATCAGCTGTTCTTCGTGTGATCTCACTTTAAATTGACTTAAGTGCGTCATGTGTATGTCCCATGAACTTGGCCACTGGCCGCGCCAATTGAATCGAAATAGATCCGCATTAGAGCTCACTTTAGGCCCCTAATTGAGAGAGCTTCGTGATAACTGTTATGCGGTTTCCCTTAGATTAGCACAATTTGTCTAAATTAACACTTCATTGGATTAGATTCGGGGTTTGCGGATTTGTTTGCGGAACTAGAAGTGACACGTGAAACTTTTGAGGGGGCAGGGTCTATTTATTTGAACAGCAATTGATCCGTGATTGTATATGAAAGTTAATTAAAAAACAAACAATTCTTTATTTATGTTTTTCAGGATTTATCTTTGAGTTCATTTCGATGCCCGTGATCAAAGCCTTTTCCTCGGCCACTGCTATTCTGGTGATTGAATCTCAACTCAAGGTCCTTCTGGGAATAAAGTACTTAGTCGCGGGTCTCATGAACTCCGTGGGAATGCTGAGCTCCCGAATCGATGAGGCCAATATGGCTGATCTCACTGTTGGAGTTTGTGCCATTGTTTTCCTACTTTTGCTAGAGGTAAAACTACTCAAAACCTATAAATTTTTATAATATTGAACATTCTTCTTTGCATAGTTACTCGATCGTGTGGCTCACAACGAAAAGAAAAACAAAGTCCTGAGAATATGTTGTCGCTATCTGTCTACCTCGAGGAATACTTTGATTGTTGTTATCGCCGCCATTGTGTCCTTTATTTGGATACGAAATACTGGCCACGTTCCCTATGCTCTCAGCAAAAATGCCTTGTCCACTTTGCCAAATTTTACTGTGCCCAGCTTGGATATTGTAACTCCAGAGAAGACTTATAGTTTTTGGGAAGTGTTGCGAGAACTGAACTTGGGAATCATAGTTATCCCTATTGTGGGGATATTGACGAACATTTCTATTGGAAAACTGAGTGAGTACATATGATAATGATTTTAGTGGAAGATTTACATTTTTGATTTTGCAGCCCCCAAAGGACTAGTGGATACAAATCAAGAGCTCCTCACAGTCGGCCTTTGCAACATGTTTGGATCCTGCGTACAGGCCATGCCTTCTTCAGGAGCATTTACTCGATATGCCATTAGCACAGCCTGCGGTCTCAGGACTCCCATGGCCAACATGTATTTGGGTGAGTTGGAAAAAAAAAATAGTCAGTGTCTAGAAGGGAAAAAATCATTGTCCTCCGCACAGGAATCATTGTGCTGCTGGCCCTGAGCTATCTCAGTCCGTACTTCAACTACATTCCGGAAGCCACGTTGGCAGCCATTCTGATATGTTCGATTTTCACGCTGCTGGACTTCCGGCTTCCCCTGAGATTGTGGCGCGACTCGAAGCGGGACTTTGCCACCTGGCTGCTGTGCTTCTGTGTCTGTGTCCTGTTCGGCGTCGAGGTGGGTCTGTTTGTGAGTATTGTGGTGACTGCCCTGCACCTGCTCTACCTGTGGGCACGTCCCGAGATCAAAGTGAAGATCGAGCAGCTGGACGAGATGCAGTACATCCGAGTCACTCCGGGCAACGGACTCTACTTCCCTGCCATTAACTATTTGCGGGAGAAAGTACTGAAGGCCTGTACTCAGGCGGAATTTAAAATCACGGTGGTGATAGACGGTCAACGGATTACCGGACTTGATTATACGGCGGCCCAGGGTATATCGAAGCTATCGAGCGATCTGTGCCGTCAGGCGGATGCAGCCAGTTCGACTTTGCTGATCCTCTACAGGATTCCCGAGCACCTGCAGCGACTAATCGACCACACGGATAACCTGGTCTTTTGCGAATCGGAGAATAAGGTGAAGGAGTTCCTCACCCAGGAGTCCCTTAGAAATGGTTACATCAACCTGCAAGAGCACATCCGGGCCTCCATCGATTTGGGCTATAAAATCGACATCGATTAGGAACGGATTTCCTTAAAACCACTCCGCTCCTCCGCTCCGTGCCTCCTAGCCTAGTTAGCCGTTTGTGTTATTTATTTAAGTTTAGTTTCGAGAAATTGTCGTCGCTGGATGGAAATGGAAATAAAAGTGAAGAAGGAAAAGTGGAACAAATGCCTTGATGGCAGCAATTTATAAAGTGCCCCTCACCGAACTGACCTCTGGTCCTGAAACGGAGGGGTGCGAAGGAGATACAGAGAGGAGGAGAGCTGGATATATGCGGTGCCGCTGGCGACGCCGTCAATGATTGCCAAGCTAATGGATTTCTGTTTACTTTTTCACTTAGAGCAGGAGCTGGAGCAGGAGCAGGAGCTGGAGCTGGAGCAGGAGCAGCTGGAGCACAAGAAAAAAACAACGTTTTGAAAAATAGCGTAAAAGAAATTAGAGGAAAAGCGAAAGCGCACAGCTAACTTTTCTAACCACTCACACACAGTCACACACAGAGAACACCCACAAGGTGAGCAAGGAGCTTGGGAAAAATGGACCAAGGAAACTCAGCTGAAAAGAAACTGCAAGAAATTAAACTAAAATCCTAGCGTTAAGTGGATCAAACGCAGTAAAAACAAACCATTTCCAAATCAAGTAAGAGTCTAACGAATAGTTTCAACTCTATTTTTAATTCAAAATAAACTGAAAATAAAATAAATAAATTAGATAATATGTATCTCTAACTATTTAATATAACTATTTAATATTTAATTTATTTTAGCTAGGATAGAGCATTAGGTAGGAGCCCTTAAGTCCTCAGCAAGCCAAGTTAATTAGGTAAGGTTAAAAAAAAGGCAGAGAAGAAACAAGAGAGAGAAGGCTAGTTAGACAGAGAAACTAAGACCAGACCAAGTCCGGATTCTAAGTAGATTTCAAGCACTTGAGGCGGTGTAAATGAAATGCGGTGCTTTCCTCCGCCACTCGCTTCTGGAGCCTCGCAATCCAAGCCGTTGTTGATTGCATTGGCAAACGAAGTGAGCAGATTTAATGAAATTTAAAACGCTGTCCGGAACTCGTTCAGATACGAGCCAACGAGGAGAGGGAAGCGGTTAGCCTAATGCAGATTTGCAAGGTGGCCAGGTCGAGTCCAGTTGAGGCCTTAAATCCAGGCCAGTGCAGATTTCCAGCCAAACAGCTCTGACTGTTAATTATTTCAATGGACTGTGTTTGCTCAGCTTTTCAACTTGGCTTGCGATTTTCTGCATTGTTGGGCTAATGAGATTTTTGCGCCACCACAGCGCAACTAGAGCGCGAAAAAAAGGTCAGAAAATTATAATTAATATGCTAATCAATCTATTGATGGAGAAATCACTTAATGGTCGAAACCAATAACCATAAAAAGCGTAATATCCGTGTCCTCTGACCACGAAACCCAATATCATTCAAATTGCGGTCCGTGCAATCAAATTTTTCACACACCAAAAAATACTTAAAAATAAAAAAAAAGAGTGGCCAAAAGCGCGGCTATTTTTGAGTAGCATACTTTTGCGGTGAAATCAAACTTGTTGACACAAACGGCAACTGCCACACAACCCGGTTAATAATTTATAACCCACCCAGCCACACCCCCATCGCGGCCGATAAACAAACATACGGCCTATACAACCTAAACCACATTTGTTCTGTTATTCCACTTTAGCGTCTGTTTATTGCCAAATGTGCAATATTATTTTATTTTGCAGCAATTTCAATGCAAAATTGAAATAATAATAATAATAAGGCTAATAATATTTATTTTCAAATGTGGTTACTAGCAAGATAATCATTTGCTTTGAGCCCGATCCCGTGCAAAAAAAATTTGCTTTAAAAGCTTTTAAAAAATCTTCTTTGTTCAATTTGCAACATCAACAAAAAATGGTTCATGTTTGTGTACATTAAACAACAAATTATGTAAATCAAAAATACATTTGAGTTTGTTGCAAAAAAAAGCTAATGTATTTGTTTATCACGGCTTCTGTAGATGGCTTTAATGCGGAAAAATAGTATTTTATGTATATAACTTTAATATTTTTTTTATACATCATAATTTTAAAGTTTTTTATTTCATTCAAGACCTTGCCAAATAGTGTATTAAATATTTTGCAAACCTAATTTTTTAGATGCCAATGCCACAAACGAAACAGACAACCGACAAAAAATACAAATTAAATTTTCATATGAATTATTTTGCTGGTCACGTAACAGCAGAATAGTTGGATGGGGGCGGTCTTGGATGGGGTATACTATGTGGGAAGGAAGAGATTCTGGGGGGAATTGGCCATTGATACGTATTATGTGACTGGCTGACCAAAGCACAGGCCGAATTTCATTTCCTCAACGACCCCCTCTCTCGGAGTCCTGCTGGCCATATCCTTCCTCCTTTTTACCACCAGCAGCAACTTAATTGCTTCGCCTACGTCAATGCGACAAAACGGCAAAGGACATAATTAATAGCAGCGAGGGGAGCAGCAGCGGAAAGCCTCTCGTTTATCGATTTTCGGTCCCAAAAAGGAACTCCGCCGTAAGGCAAAGGACTCAACTCTAGACTCACTCAACTCGCTGGAAATTGGCCTTTGGCCATAAAGCGTTTTAATATTCGCCCAAGTAGTCAAAGTCGGGGAGGGGCGGAGCAAACAGCCTCGTGTTTGCTTGTTTAAATTGTTTAAAATGTCAACTTGATTGCGCGTAATTAAATGCCCGAAATCCTAAAGGACAACAGACCAGCACAAATTCTCCGGCAGGGCACACGAAACTTTCATAACAAGTACAATGAAAATAATTAACAATTAGTACAAAAACCCAATCGAGAGCTATGCCAATGAGACGACATAAACCAGGGCCGGGAATGGGCATCTATTTAAAGGACATCTATTTAGGGAGAGATGTCTGGCTGTGTGGCTGTCTGGTGCTGGTTTCCGTGATTCCTCAACGGCCTGAAGGACTTGTCCTCCCAAGTGCCCGGCCACATGAACTTGTTAGACGTTTAAATTCAATTACAACTCGATTTGTTTCGCAGGAAGTATTTACTTGATTGATTGGCTTGGCCGTTAATGGAGACAGGATAAGTAACCACTAAATTTAAGGACGAATAATTGACAATTATGAACCAGTTATTCAAGGTAAACGCTTCCTAAATGAGTTCAAGTCTTGCATTGGCAATCAAAATGTTTTGAAAATGTAAACATGGTGAGAGCCCTTAACCGCAGTATCCATCTGGCCTATTTGGAAAACCTATTCGTTAGACACAACTGCAACAGCTTGAACCGATTGCACTTGAAATGCCCGGCTTCCAGCTCCGAGTTATTAGAATCACTTCAAGCAGAAGTAGGGCAATCAAAATGTGGCCTAAAATAAAAGTTAATGCCAGCAACAGTTGCAGTAACACTTACAGTAACTCACTCGAATGGACATACATATACACAAATGTGTCTAAAGGATACCAAGGAGAACACAGCTGCGGTGAGGCTTTATGACTGCAACCATCCGCCTCCAGTCTTCCATAAATTGGTCCTTCTTTATTCTGGTTTCTTTATGTGCAACTCCTGCTTTTCTTTGTGGCGGAGCTTAAAGCAGCCAAGTTAAACGAACATCAAAAGCCAACTAATTTGGCTGTAAAAATAACATTAAATCACATTCAAGAGCATCGAATAAAGGAAAGGCTCACATATGTAAGGACACTTGAGGGGAAAATGGTAGGAAACTAACTTTTCAAATTAATGTTTTCATTTTAATGCGAGCTCTTCAGAGAACTCTTTTTTAATCCTATTAAAATGTTAAAGGCTTTATTTGTTTGAAGATGTTACTATTTTTTTATCCTCAATCATAAATCTTTACACAGATAGTGGAAAATCGAATTGGACACACACACATGCTGCTCTTCAGGGCTCGAGAAAAGGTAAGGGCACTCCCCTTTCGCTTTCGCCCCATCACGATTTGGTCTTTAAGCTTATGTTGCACTTGACTGAGTTTTATGCTTTGATGCTCAATGATTTTATTATTAAAAGCAACTTGTCCCGGGCCAAGGATTCCCTTCACGGCAGCCCCCGTTTGCCCTCGCCGTCTGGGCCACCGCGTCAGCCAATTCTTTTGGGGTTGCACGAGCGAGTAGCAGCCACCCTTGGTCTAGACTCTAGACTCTAGACACTGAAAATTGCCAATGGCTTTTCCGGCTCTTCCGGCAGCCACTGCCTCTGCCGTTGCAGCTTCACCTTGGGAGTCGCTTAGCTGTCTAAATATGTCACTTGAATTTGATGACGGCCACTTGCGTAGCAGCCAAACAAAAAGGAAAAGTTGGAGAAAAACTGTTGCCTGTTTTCCACCACCCGCCCCAAAGACACATACGATTAAGTTTCTCCCCTCAGTGTTTTCTTAAAATATTAGTTCCCTGTTCTCTGGGTCGGTTCTTTTTTGTTTGGTTTCTGGCTATGGGGAAATTGTTTTGCTGCTTTTTATTGTCATCTTTGTTATTTGTTATGGCCACCCCAGCCCACTCCTCCTCGTATCTGTATCTGGTATTTGCCCAGACTCAGTTACAGATACCTCGGGCTATAGTCACACATACACGGCATGTATTTACTCGAACACGGGCCAAGAGGCAGTCGTCATGAATAATGAAAAAGCAACGTGAATATATTTTCTTACTTACTTTGGGGGCGTTAGAGCCAGCCAGGAAAGAGTCGGGGAAATAGTGAAAAATAGAGGAGGAAAGTTGGCATCAAGGATCTGCCTGGAATTTTTTTTTAAGTTTCATAAACAAATATAATTAAAACTTTATGAGTATCTGGGCTTTAACATGGGATTATAAAATAAAACCGAATTTTCACAAAAGCTCATAAAGTTGTAATTACAAAACTCGACTCGTCCTTTATAAGATTAAGGGATTCCCGGATAGTAAAAGTATTATTTGAACATAAAGTTTTTACCACCAGAATTCCTTTGTAGAACTTCTAATTCAGTTAAATAAAAAATAGTCTCTCGGTTGACCAAGCCTGCTACTCAAATTCCTTGTCATCCCCAACCCCTCATGTGACATTCCCAGAAGCTCCCTCTTAGTTATTTCAATTTTGCTTCTATATTTTCCTTTGAATGGCTTCGACGTTGTTTGCGTTGGAAATTCCTTTGGACACTCAATGGGAAAAAATCGTAGGAAAACGAAATCAGCAAAGCAAATAAACCCGCAATAGCAATAAAGCACCCAAAAGTGTCAATCGATTGGGGGTTATAGAAGGCGACTAGATAAATCTCAATGCTAATTAAAAGCAAGCTGCGTAAACTTTAAATGAACTGCCAGCCGGAAAGGCCAAATGACAGTCAATGTCAGATGGATGCAAAAGTAAACAAAAAGCACGGAATATTTTGCGTTTAATGAAAAACTTGGGCCAACAACGCTCTTCGAAAAGTTCAATTCAGGCAAATGTCAGCACGGAGTACGGCCAAAACAAAAACAAAATCAGTTTAGAGAGGGTTCTGGGGGAAGTATCCAAAATGAAAAGTTTTACCACCAAGAAAATGGCGATGATGGTAGGGCCGGAGCTGATGGCTAAGGACTGCAATTTTAGCCTCAAACCAAAGACAACCAAAATGAGTCCCGGATGTGGTGCAAACAAGAAAAACAAAAATGCTAAACCAACAGAATATTACAACAACAAAACCAGGAGAAAGATGCTGCTGCTGTTCAAACCGCAATACAGATAAAGGCCAAATTACTTTCTGGCCAAGAAGTTGCCGCCACGGACCGCAAGTTGAAAACCATCGGACAAACAAGAACCCCCAGCACTGGCCATGTTGTACTTTTTTGAATGCCTCTTCCCGAGGACGAGTTTATGGGCGGCGATCCTTTTGGGAAAAGTTATCCGCCGACGGCAAGGACTACCCTGGGGATTCGAAAACTGAAAAAGTCTGACTTTGATAGGTCTGCGGGCTAGGGTGTGTGTGTCTGGGTGATTCATAAGGATCCTCGTTCATGTTGACTAGAGCTCTTTGGGGACCTAGAGTAACGGAAACATAAGGAAACGAGGTTCTCGAAAAGCTAATACTTGGCAGACAAGTAAGATTTACTTATTTATTAAAATATCAAAAATTCCTTCAGCATTTTTGCTACTTTGCAGAATACTTTAACAATCCAAAGAGATTTACCAAAGAAACTAAAAACTCAATCCTACACTAAGACCCTGCCTAATCACTTTTAAATTCCCAAACTTCTTTCATCCAATCCGATAAGAAAACTTTTCCCTTCCAGCTTAACCTGTACTAGAAACTTCACCTGCAATAATCATTTGCTCCTGACCATATAAAGTAGACATTAAAGCCACCTTACAGCCCTCGATCCATGTGTGACCACAAAAACCGGCACAAAACCGACACAAACCCAAATCCGAGATCCGAAATCCTGCAGCCTTCCATTGCAAAAAGCGGCAACCAGACAATGTTCGTAAATGGGCTACAAGAAAAGTTTGCCATCTCCCGCCCAGAGGGTGAGCCTCTATCTGTTTGGGGCACAAATTGTAGCTGCAACTCGGTGACAACCACAAAAATAAGTGTTTACAGCATTGATTACAAGAAATGGGCGGTGGCTGATGCTGTGCCAGTGCTAGTGGCACTGGCAGTACCAGTGGCACAGAGTACCTCCAACATCAAAACCACCAGCGGCAGGAGTGGCAGCATTTGATGTTGATTAGAACCGCAGCAAGCCGCAACCATTTTTGCATTTCTTAAGATTGTCTGCAGGACAGCATACACTAGGAAAAACACGACATCACCTTCAAGGGAAATAATATTAATAAAATAATCTTTACGTAACTGAGATACATCAGTCACTTATCCATCAGATTTAAAAAAATGTTTATATTCTACCTTTTTTCGCTCAGTGCTGTGGCAGTCAGTTAGCGTGTCAGTAGTGCCAAGGGATTGACCAAGTCCGCTGAGGCGGCAGAACGTGGCAGGATGCGGGGTGGCTTTGGCTGGTTTTGCGGGAATTGGTTTAGGTGTCGACTCTGCGGCCGCACACAATTGACAAACAGTGAAACCCTTTTTGTGGCACTTCCGTTGCGTTTTGTTAGCTAGTTTACAACCATTCCATCGCATCCTTCTCTCACTTCCTCCTCACTCTTTCCCACTGGCATATCCTTGCAGCTCTTGCTGCTACTGCCTGTTGTGACAAAAGTTTATACCCCAAGCATTTGAACTGCATTTCATTACGGCGACGACCTCTGCAAGTGGAACTGCTTCTGGAATTGATGGGGAGAGGAGGCGGAAGCGGGGCAAGGGACAACTCGAAAATGCAAATGGTGTTGGCGCCATATTGAAAGCTCCGCAAAAACACTTCTGGCCAACACTTCCCACCAACAGTATAGCCATTTTGTAGCCTTCTAAGGTAAGGTATTGTACTATTCTAATATAATCTATCATACTATTAGATGATTCTATTCGTTTGAAAAAATAATAAGAATAAATACTAGAATTAAAACATATATTTTGAAGTATTATTTATCCTTTATTTTGGCAGCACTGATAAAACTTGGAACCCTCCAGTGCCATTACCCGCATTTGTAGCCACAACGTCAGTCTTTTGTGGTCTGCAAGGAGGGGAGCTGGGAGCTATGGGGGCCTCGGGAGGTGGCCACCAACGAAGCGTATAAGTGGCCCTTATCCCAGCTTGAAGTTGGAGTGGGCACACTCTTCCAGAGAAACCTACTGGTTGTATATTGTATTGGCAAATATTCTCATGACAATAGGAATTTTTATTGAATTTATGCAAAAAATTGCAAATTTCATTTGCTACTTACAAAGCGAACTCTGTTGGTGGTTGGGCAAAAAATAGAAAACATTTTCCATATTTCTGCAGTACTAGTAGCACCTAGCAGCCACATCTCGTGTTTATGAAAAGTGGGTGGACGGCAAGTGACACCGAATAAAATGGAAATGCATTCGTTATTTGATTTAAATCTGAAATCTCTACCAGCCATCAATTTTTGTTGATGAAATTTTATTACTACGTGTCAGAATTACAACATTATTGATTTAAAATACTACAATCTCCGATAGTCCCAAAAAAAACTTAAATTAAAAATCATTTTCGGATTCAGAACTCCGATCGCAGTTTCTCCAAAAAGTATTCTATGTATTTCTGCTCTTTCTGGCCTCTATTAAAAAGACGAGCGTTGGCTATGGCTATCTGGGATTCAGATTCATTATTCAAACGTAGCATAGCCCCGCCCCTATATAGCCAGGCTCTCAGGTGAATCGGATCTAGTTTGAATATCACATAATCCAAGTCGAAGAGGGCCAACTTAAAGTCTCTTTTCTTGATTTTCGCCAGAGCTCGATTGCAATATAGAACTGGAGAATCAGCCACATATTGAATCGCTTTCGTATAATACTGAATAGCTTTTTCATAATTAGTTCGGCGATATTCCTCGTTTCCCAATCTTTTGGTGGGTTTTTGTATTTCAATTAAATAGTTTTTTTTTTAATAAACAAAGACTCACCGACGAAAACTATCTGCAATACGTTCACGATCACATCTGGCCTCCAAGCGCTCCTCAGGCGTGACATCTATCTGACGCATAAAGCAGGTCTGATTAACGTTCGAGTTAGTTAGAATCTTTTTCCAAGGTCTTGAAGACTTTTTCCGTAAGTCTCGAGAGAACACTAGAAAGTTGGTGTCTGTAACATTCCTGGATGGATCCACTTCCGGTGGCTTTTCCTCCTTGCCCTTGGTTCCAGTGCTGAAAAGAATAGGTGTTACATGAAAACACTAGCCTTCAAGAGTCTTCTAGTAATCCTACTCCATTTTGTTGGCATTCAGCATGTCCTCCAACTGCTTTGATACATCCATTAGAAGCGAACGCACTGTGAGGAAACTTTCATCAGCATCCATTTTTTTAGCCTTCTGTTACTTTTGTTGAATATGAGTCTATATTTTAGTCTCAAATGTAAAGTGTGAATACTGGTATGACCCTTTTTCCAGGGCCAACTTGGCTAATCTTTTCCAAAAAGCCATTATCATTAGGTTCAGTCTTGAATGCAATTCAGAGACTCCACTGCAAAGTGCAACATGTGCTACGTCCTTGCAAAATTAGACAGACACGCCGAGTGACATCTGGCTCGTTAGCCTAGCAGGGGCATGTGGTTTTGGAGATTAGCTCAATTAAAATTTTGTGGCATTAAAATTGTCTTGCCAGTCGGCAGCGGCATGACTTCGTGTAAGTATAAAATTCTATGAAAACATCATCCCTCCCATACCACACATTTTCATCTTTATTTGTGCCTGAAATTATTTAATTGAGTTTGTTGGAAAATTTCTTTTAAATTAAGAAAGTTTTTGCACGTGATGCTTTTTTTGGGGTCGTTTTTTTTTTATACATTTCGTGGTGATTCACAACTTTATTTGTCGCTGGGCATAAGGGTGAGTTTTTCCCAGAAGGGGGTGAGGTAAGGCTTTTCCTAGAGCAGCACGTGCTGCAGAGTTCGTAAAAGTTGGGGTTTATTCTATGTTTCTTTTTTTTTTTGGTGACACATTTAAGGTAATCCAAATGATAATAATCATCTGAAATCACGCATTCGGCAAGGATTATAAAGGCAGCATGGAGGTAAAAATGGAACAATTTTTAAACATATTTTAAATTATTACATTTCGTTGCCTATTAAATTTCTGAAATTGTTTATTTTTATTAAGATTTTCTTTATTGAAATTGGATAATCGTTGCGTGAAAAAGCATCTGTCATAAATATTTCGGTTACGGTTGTAATTTTCTTTCATCACTTTTTATGTGACGCATATTATTTTCAATTTTGCACGAAATGTGGGGCACGTCTTGCAGACTTGGCTCATTAATATTGGTTAGAAGTCGCTGCAGCTTTTACTTTTGCACCCCCGATGGTCACTGGCCTAGTAACCCAGTGCGTGTCCTGCAACTTGTCTTAACCCTCTGAAGGACTAATGTTAAAAATGTATATTTTGTGATAAAAAAATAATAAGTAAAATACTGGAAATTATATTAAAACTATAAACAACTTGTATAACCTAAAAGATATTTAAAAAAGTTTAAAAACAGTTTTAAAGTAATAAAATCAATAAAACAAAGTATATGGAGAAATTTAAAAATATGTATTTTAAATAAAATATTTTTATTCCTGTACAAACAAAAAGAATCTCAAGACCAAGGTTATATTTAGAACCTTATTCCTTAAGGGGTTAAGGGCTCTGTATCCAAGATGGGGACCCTCCTGAACTAAATGTGCGAACATTGCAAAAGCTTGGAATAGTTACAGGCAATGCTGTGATGCTGTCACGCCGACATTGATGACTGCGTTGACAAGTATCCCTGGCAGCTGGACGACAACAACAACAACAATGACAGTGTCAGGAGCAGGAAGGGCAGCCGGCAGGAGGCACGACAAGGACGTGGGCGTGTCTCTGGAGAAATGTGTCAAGCGCGGCGACTTGAGCTGCATAACCAAGCAGGAAATGGCGATTCTACTTGGGTCGGTGGGGGGAATGGTCTTGGGGTGAACTATTTCTGACTTTACGTTAAGCTCGCCATTGTTTCGAACTTTAAACTTTGCTCGGCTTGATCACCGAGAATGTTTGTTTTTCTCACTACGGAACTATGTTAAACTTCGGCTTAAAGTTTCCTGGAAAAACGCTGACCGCCCCCAGCTGTGCAACTTTTCAGCTCGTCTTTTCACCTTTTAAGCGACGGGAATAATATTAATGTTATATACATAAAAAAAAAGTATGAAAAACTTTGAAAATAATCGTTATTTTCCAAACAAAAAAAAAGATAAATATTTTAAAACTTGTATGAAACCTTAGAAAGTCTCATTTAATTTCAGCACCTGAGCTATAAGTAGCCAATTTTTACAGTGCAATTGCTATATGTACCTACATCCTTTTTTCGGACCATTCCCCGAAAAGGACCTGATGCCAGGGCAGTCAGGAGTTCAACTCCAGCGACAGGCGGTATGAAGCCAAAGACAAGCAAAAGATTATACATTGCCCAGCCGGCGGGCATGCTTTGTAACCGAGCTGAGCAGTGAAAAAAGAGACAGGTCCTGAGTGGAACAGAGACACAAGAGGGAAAGGGGGTATACAAGGATTCAGGGGCGCGAAGAACGTGCAGAAATAAATTGCATAAACGCTGGAGCGCACGCGGAAAAAAAAAGCAAACATGTTTAAAATGTTGTTATTCACACACACAGCTTACCGTTCCAGGACGAGGCCAGACCGGGAAGGACGAGGCGCCCCCGAGAAGACCCTGTCCCGCAAATCTGACACAAAGATTTGCCTTCGCCCTTTGAAACATTGTTTGTGGGCCTTGTTTCTTGATTTTTTACTTACTTCCCCTTTGTACTCGTTTTTCCGCCATTCCACTTTCCGCTTTTGGCCCCAATCTTTTGGCGTGTTTTATTTACCTTGTTAACCTTTTCGGGTTGACAAACTGCGGAAATGCCGGTGTGCTATGTAGTGCGAGTCTGCCCCGCCGGGCGATATGAAAAGTGGAAATCCGTGGAAATTTGTAACGAGCGAAAGGCATTCGACAAAAGTGTCTTACTGGGGCTCTGGAGCGATATCTCATACAAAATATTGGAGTACATTTATAAGCACATGGCTTGTGGGGCAAAAGCCGCAAAAACTTTAATTCTTTGTTATGGTTTCAATTTCATTAAGTTTCAATCGCAATCAAAGCCACAGCGTTTCATTATAAAGACAACAAACAAAAAACTGAAAAGCAATTTGGATAAACAAATTTAATATGCAACAAACAACGGGGAAACAAAATTTGAATTCATTTTTAGCCCCTCGCCACATTTTGTACATATAATTTTTAATAAGTTTATCAGGCGAGTTCTGCGAGTCAAAGGCAGGCTCGTATTATATACTCATCCAGTATACGCCATGTGTTACCCGCAGCAGAAGAAGCGGCGCACAGAAACCAAATTAAATGCTAAATTAAAAAATAAGATCAAAAGGATTTCACAAGCCTGTGTAGGTAAGGAGAAGCCTGGAGAAAGCTCTTTTTTATTTCAATCTTTATATTTTTTTGTAAATTTTAATATTGTGCCATAGAATTTGCATTTGATATTTGCATGTTGAGTGTGCGTTGGCGTCCTTTATTGTGTATATGTATATTCCAGAATGGGATAAGCGTATTAACATGCAAGGCATATTAGGGATAACTGTGCCGTATTGCAGTACCCATACATACACAGACTGTCACAGGACAGGACAAAACCAATAATGCGCATATTAGACTTCACGATGATGATGACAATGATGATGTGCCATGTCCTCCACCAGACTCGTACAATACTTCTTTTCCGTTTCATACCCTAAGACTCTGGGATACGAATTTTATTGGCAGTGATGGGGCAATGGCTAATAGCATGAACATTTCATAGAAAACTAGGATTAGTTGAAGGAGCTTTTCTTAAAAATGATCAGAGAACCAGGTGCATAATTTTAGTCTCTGGATATGGAAGACTTTGATCCCCTTTGAAGACTTTTTGATTGTGGGGTATGGTGTTAGTCCTTTCTCCTTGAGTTCGATGTTGTTGTGGCTATTGTTTCTTTAGAGTTGACCATAGGGAGCTCATGTCGAATGCATTCTGTTTGAACTGCAAGTCGAATTGCCCCCAAAAAGAACGAATGGCTGTGGCTCTGAGGATAAGGAAGCTTTGGGATGAGGAAAGAATCGTCCAAAGAGGGGGGCAGGCACTTTGTCTAAGCCAAAAACGTGCACAGTCTCTGGCAATCAACTTTAATAACATCACAGAATGTCAATAAATCCACAAAATGGTTGGCCCCATCCTGACGTCCTTGCATCCTTGGTCACTCCTTCAGCATGTTGTTGCATCCGCTTTGCTGCTGATGATGATGATGATGATGATTACGGGGATAGAGTCCTGCTGCTGTTCCTGCCGGGAATTTCCCTGATGTCCGGCAAGAGTATCATTAACAAAAGGAACTGCGTGCTGCAACTGACCGAAAACAGAGGCCACAATGCTGATCCATCTATCCCCCCAGTTGCCCCTTTTTTTTTGTGTTCCGAGTCAGGCATCCTCTCTTAACCGGATGAAAGGAACTTGAGCTGCTTATTGGATAGTCCTCTGCTTTGGCTTGTAATATGTCCAAAGGTCTGCATCTATTGATGGGCAAAAGGCTTTAAGCTTTCACACACCCCAATTATGGCTAAAACAGAAGGCTCGATGAATGGGAAACAAAGGATTCCAAAAGCCAACTACAAAGGCAAACAATGTGTCGGAACTCATTTAAAAAGAATTAGGATTTTAGAAGGGAATACGCTTTAAGCCACATTAGATTTCTTTAATGGGAATTCAGAACTATTATCTGATTGTTTACCAAGAATAATCACTGCCACCAAATCAAATGCTTGCTCATTGATCTGACAACTTCAATTTACAATTAAATATTTAATGAATTATTTCAACTTATCGGCAGTGCAACAATAGCCCCTCCGCACCTCCCCGGGGACCACAGGTTTTGAGCTGTAAATGTGCGGGTATTTACAGAACACACGCTGACCATAATATATGGTTGAATCTGTGTTTTATTTATCCACACACAATTGACACTCGGCGCGACCCTAAGCACATTTATCATCCAACAATAATCCCCGATGGTGCGTATCAGTTCCGCATCCCGCCTGCACCTCAGACCCCTTGGTGGCACTTCTCCTTGCCATCAGCTTTAAGCGACAAAATTGTTTATGATTATCATTTAGCGATAATTTATGGACAACACAGGCAGCGGCAAAAAGTATGCGAATAAATAAATAAATAAGTTCAATATTATTTTCATATATATTACATCATCGGCTATTTGCGTAACTGCCGTTTATTGATAACAAAAAAGTGCATAAAAAATGGAGTTTGTGCCAGAATTTATAGCCTGAA